TCCTGCCATATTTACTTTTTACTTACTTTTTACTTTACATATTCACCACTGCATGCGCATTTCATTTCCCAGTCTGGTGTATAATAAAACTCCTTGAAAATAAAAGCTATTTTATACTTCTATACCTCCTCCTACAGCAGTGGTCCTCAACCTTCCTAATGCCGCAGCCCCTTAAAACAGTTCCTGTGGAATATAGTTCCTGTGGGTCACGACCCACAGGTTGAGAACCGCTGCTGTTCTACAGTAATGTTTGGCTAGTATAGATATTTTAATAATGATTGGCTTTAAAGCTTAAATTTGCAATAGTTTCAAGCGAATTCTGCCTTTACTTGCATTCATATAGTGCCTGTAGATAGGCATAATACATGCAAATTGTGAAGTAAAGATTAAAGGTATTCGCATTTGTTCTAGTCTGAATTGATCATTGGATTTGTTAAGTAGTTGAACTATAATTGAAGTTCTAGATGTGACTCAGCCTGGTCAGAAAATATTACCTGCTTTTCTTATTGAATCCTTGAAAAAGTAAGCTTTCATGTTGGCTTTATTCCCTTTTTGGCTTAATCTCTGATACTTAGAATAAAATAGCCTGTTTTGAAAGGAATGAGACACAATGGAGAGCAGTGATTAAGCTCCACTAGCACATGACTTTTGATTTCCATGTAATATTCACTTTATCTTAGAGAGTTTCACATCTCTTGCTATCTTTTTGGGCCAGTGGGCTGCTTCTCATCTGTATTTATTTTTTTCTTTAGATATTAGGATCAAGGAAGAAGAACCTGATCCTGAAGAGTGGCAGCTCAGTGGTGATTCTACATTGAATACCAATGATCTAACACACTTAAGAGTACAGGTGGTAGATGAAGAAGGGGACCAACAACATCAAGAAGGAAAAAGACTACGGAGGGTAGCTTGCACCTGTCCCAACTGTAAAGAAGGTGGTGGGAGGTATGCACACAGGAAACATATCTTTTTTTTTTTTTTTTAAGAGCGTTAATATTATCACCCTTATTTTTGAAATACTGCATGCCATATTAATTATGAGATATTGTTCATTACATGATCATTTTGGGTGTGTGTCTGTGTGAGTGTGGCAGAAGTTAGAGAACAAAATATATGAAATTCAACATTCAGATTTAAATGCCATTTAAACTAAACTTACTAGTTTACTTTTTTCGAACAAGTGTAATAGATACAATTTAATAGGCCCATAAGCAGAAATTAGCCTATTTGCAAACTAGCAGCAGTGAAATTTGCCTTAATACATATAAAAAGTTGATTCTTAGGTTGAGAATAGCAATTATGGTAAAAACAAGAGGTTCAAGAAGAGGGCAGTGCCTGTGGCTCAAAGGAGTAGGGCGCCAGCCCCATATGTCGGAGGTGGCGGGTTCAAAGCCAGCCCTGGCCAAAAATTGCAAAAAAAAAAAAAAAGGTTCAGTAAGAGTTGATAAGCTCTTCCATATTTCAACAGAAGTGCAAAATAAGCCTGAATAGATAAAATTTTTTAAAAAGTGGGATTGTAATATTTCAGTGTTTTAAAAAATATATTTAGACAGAATAATAAAGGATGTTCAGTACTTAATGTTAAATGTAGATAAATTCAGCTTAATAAGAGATTAAGGCTCAAATTGTATTTTTTAAAAACATAAAGTCTATCTGATGTTGATTATAAAAAACATCTCAAATAATTGTTACAGGAATGTTGAAGCTGAGGAATGGAAAAAGACTTACTAGGCAAATATTAAATAAAAGAAAACATGGATAGCAATGTTAGCATCAAACAAGGTAGGATTAAAGTGAAGAGCCTCAGTTGGAGAGGATATATGTGTATTTCTTTAATATGAAGTTTCCACCAAGAAGATTGTTTATTTCTTTATTTTTTGAGACAGAGTCTCACTCTGTCGCCCTACTTGGGTAGCGTGCCATTGTCATACCTCACAGCAACCTCAAACTCTTTCTTTAGACTTGAGGGATCCTCTTTCCTCAACATCCGGAGTACTTGCTGGGACTACAGGCACCGGCCACAATGCCTGGCTTATTATTATTATT